TAGGAAACGCCGACTCATCTACGACGAGCTTTCCGAGAGCCCATTCCTTGGCTTTGCCGGCAAGACGAGACAACAGGAAATTGACCTTGGCCGTCGGAGTGTCAATTAATCTTGACGCTATTGCAATATCCACCTCGCGAAACCAGCGATTGAGGGGGAGACGATCCGGACCATCACCGGAGTACGTTGACGTCTCCATCTTGATAGCGACATGGTGCGAAGTGCGCGAGGGAGTCAATACTCGCCGATTCGCTTCGGCAAGCTCGCGCACCATATAGTCTTGGATGGTGGCACGTTGATCACAGGCGTCGCTGTGCTCAGCAGCGACGTCACAATAGTTTCACCAGACACCGCCGCGAGGCGATGTAGTGCCTGCCACTCTACCGAGGTGAGATGTGGAAAATCAGAATGCTCCAGCGAGACCGCTGGAGCCACCGAAGACGCCCATGTTCATCTCGAATCTGGTCATTGAAAGGACTACGAAGTGCTACCAGGTGTAACGGGCTAAGGACCCGTTACCGTCTTACACTAAAAGGGCGTTGAGGAAGCGCTCTTAATTTACTCGTAAATATAACTCTGTTTTATTTTTGTTTTAGTTTTAATTCGCAGTAAGTGCGAATATGTTCCCTAGCTCATGGGAACCACTCAATATGGAAGTCAATTTATTATTGGCTAATTATTGGGTATGGCACCCCAATAATAAACCAATAATAAAATGACGCGCAGTATCCGCTAATCAAATACTGCCCTATGCCTACTTATGTAATTATGTATTAATCCTATAACTACTTATGTAATAGGTAGACCCATTACAGATGACATCTGCATTGCCTAACTCCATAGGAATGGCATCAGACTTCTCGGACGCGGCCTGTAATAGGCTGTTGCCGAGGCGCTGTTGTAGGATTGCTCCTCAACTAAGGCAATGTCAATTGCCTCTTCAATAGTCGCTGGCATCTTTCTAAAAAGAGCCTGATGCGATGGGCAGTGCCTCAGTCCATTCATGAACGTGGCCACCTTGATACGCTCTGGTATCGGTTCCCCATTTTGGACGCCGACAGCGAACGCATCTCCTGCACAAATTCTTGCAGAGAGCGTTTCGCCTGTCGTGCTCCAAAGAAGCGCGCCTTAAGCAACACTTCGGTGTTAGGCTGCTGATACATGGCGCGAATCTTTGCCTTAAAGATCGCCCATGATGGAAATGCATCAGCGTTTGCCGTAAACGCAGAGCAAGCCCACTCTGACGCCCTACCACGCAAATCTAAAATGGCATACGACACCATTCTGGTGTCGTCTTCGATGAGCTGCGCCATACCGCATTGCTCCTCGGCTATAGGCCAGAGGACAATCGTATGAGGGGCAGTCCCATTAAACTTCGGAGGGTCCATCTGTAATGGGTCTACCTAGTTATAGGATTAATACATAATTACAAAAGTAGGCATAGGGCAGTACCCGATTAGCGGATACTGCGCGTCATTTTATTATTGGTTTATTATTGGGGTGCCATACCCAATAATTAGCCAATAATAAATTGACTTCCATATTGAGTAATTCCCATGAGCTAGGGAACATATTCGCACTTACTGCGAATTAAAACTAAAACAAAAATAAAACAGAGTTATATTTACGAGTAAATTAAGAGCGCTTCCTCAACGCCCTTTTAGTGTAAGACGGTAACGGGTCCTTAGCCCGTTACACCATCCGAATGGGCCTCGGTTGAGTAGGCCTGGTAGAGAGCGTCTCAACAGTTCTGTTGAGCGCCTCATTACGTGCCTGCTCAAGCCTAAGCTTATCCTGAGTCTTATTGATGGACTCAGCGGTGGCTTGGCTGTTTACCTCGGACGCGTTTCTACGCTTTCCGAGCAGAAACGCCTCGAATTTTCCCAACTGAGCAACATGTAGTTCAGGAGGACAATGCAAGATGCTGTCCAGGGCTTTTTCACCAAGTCCCTGCGCCAAATGCTCTGCCAACTCCCTATGATGTTGGGAGAGGTGAGGGAAGTCTCCCCGCTCCCAACACCATAGGGAGTTGGCAGAGCATTATCATATTGAGGGCCATTCGTAGCCATACGCACGCTCAGAGATACGGGTCGTGGTAAGGACTACGAGTGCTGCCAAGTGTAGACAGGCGAGATGAGCTGCCGCGTACTACGCGAACACACACCCTCGAGCAGCGCGAGGAAGCGGTATGACCGTCTTACCTCCGCGTGCGGTGGTGGTTTCGTTGGTCGGCGGTAAACTGCAAGACCAACAAATTGCCGATCGTTTTAAGCGAGCCGCGCAACGAACTTCTAAGACAAGAGCTACGCTTACGACACGCAGAAGCTTATTTAGCTTCTCGTGCGCAGTGTACAATGTTAAGCAAAGTAAATATTATATCTAAAATAATTAAACATAAATTTAGTTACTTATTAATCAAATAATAACAACATACGCGTCTCCTTCGATGCGTATCCTTACGTGCGAGCTTAAAACATATATTTGCTCGCTGATGACGTCTGTTTAAAGCATCACCATGACGCATAGTCCCAACTGGCGTCATCCTCTTTTCATATGAATCCATCCATGGATATTATATTCACGAGAGTGGGTCACATTGATATGCCTCACCCAAGTGGCAGGCCGCGGCGTTCCAACAGTTGCAGGAGCAACGATTTCTCAGCAATATGTTGAGGCATACGGATGGAAGGAGGCACGACCGCGATGACCTTGCCTTCGAAGTTTTTTTAAAAAAATCAGACATCGCAACCCGCGTGTCACTTGGGTGCGTGCATACCAAAAAAACGGGCGGCGACGGAAGTACAATATCTCCCATCTATCATGCTGCAAGCGTCATCTCCTCAAGTGGTATAATTGGATGCACAGCATCATCCACCTTATCGATCCAAGGTCTCGAAGCTGTGCGACTAGTAAAGCACTCGGTCTTGCAACCTACCGACCTCCGCCGGAGTCGAGGCGTTGCGGTCGACGAGGCCACTTTTGTCATTATAGCTGTTAGGCTCGCCGGGGTCGTTTCTGCACCGGGGTCCGTTAGGTACGCTGGGGTCGATACATTCGTTGGCGTCGATGTGGTGGCTGAAACCGTTGATCGCAGCCGCGAGCAAGACCCGACCAGCTGCCGTTGGCCCAGAACCAAGCACGTATTTCCACTTCATTTGAGCATCCTAGCTCCCAGATTGTGAGGGAGCATCGCCCAGCGGCAAATTGCCGTCATTAACTAATCATGGGTAAAAAGGGTGGGGGGAAGTGAAAGAGTTTAGGGTTTTTTTGTTTAGTTTATGGGGGTGGGTTGGGGGGGGGGGGTTGGAGGGGAGGGGGGGGGGGGGGGGGGGGGGGGGGGGGGGGGGGGGGGGGGGGGGGGGGGGAAAGGCTCTCTTCACTTGCCAAGTTAATTCGCCTGCGTACTTAGCCGCAAATTACGAAGTGGCAAGCTACTCGAAGTGTCGCACGAGCATTTCATGTCATGGGAAACTTGACAAGAGCAACGAGGGCGAATTTATTGAGACACTCAAGTCGCAGTTTCTTGACGCCGCAGTTGCATCAGCAACGCAGCTTGGAAGCAGTACACTGGTGGTATCATGTCGAGCTGTACATAAAGCACGCTGTGCTTCATTTGAACTTCGACGACATCACTTTCAAGGACTAGAATTTGCGGGTAAGATCGAGAGCGAAACTGGCTGCGTCCGATTACAGCATTTCATTCAGCTAGGGCAATTTTGCTTATGTCTCGTCCGAAAAAGTAAGAAGTATTACTTGCAAAGACTAAACTACTATACTAGCTGTAACGGGGTTACACGGCGGTTGTAACATCATTCCGAAAGTTTACAGTTGAAATGTTATTTTTATTGCATATAATGCATTTTGATACTTCTCTTTAGAGAGGTATTAAGTAAAAGCGTTATAATACGGTATTCGGTAATACCGTATCTTATCGATTGAGATTCGATAAATCACTAAGGCTGTATTAAGTACATCATACACAGATGTTTAGACGATACGTCGTCCAATAGCAAAGTCTGCATATAATAATTACTATTATAGTAATTAATCTAGTGTAGTGTACTTAGAGTAGGACTATTCATAAAATCTTAAAGCATCAATAAAATTAGTTCTCATTTTGAGTTTAAGATAAAAAGTCGTTCTGACTTGTTCTCTTGTGCACTTCGTGCGTTGGTTCTCTGAACCTTTAAGCTTCTAGCTTGTTCTTGCACTCTGTGCGTTGGTTCTCTGAACCTCTAAGCTCTAGCTTGTTCTTACACTCTGTGCGTTGGTTCTCTGAACCTTAAGCTTATTGCTTGCTGACTAAAAGTCTCTCCTACTTCCTTAGAACAGGGTGACTTTAAAGTCGTTTAATTATTTCCTTAGAGCTAAGTGGCTTTTAGCCGAAACTTTGACTAGTTCTCTAGAACTAAGAGGCTTTAAGCCTAAAGTCTTCCTCTGGCTAAAGAGATGTGCAGCTTCGCTACACTAGCGCACGAGACATACATTAATTGTGTTGACGACAGGTATTACAGTATGGGTTGCAGTATGTGAAACCTTTATTCGAAGCAGCTAAGGTGACAGTCTGTAGCAGCAAGTTGTCGTCGTGATGCATTTCGGTAGCGACTAGTAGTCTTGGCTCTTGGCGGAGATGTCATTAAGTAAATGTAACCTTCGATGTTATAAACAGAAGAATAGCCTGACATTAATACGAAGTATCCCTGCTTGGCTGAACAACTTTCACATTTTCCGGTCGTGCCGGATGGCATCGCACATTGTTCATGTCGTCGGCTTTATTGCAGATCATATTGACTGCACCATGTAGTCAGCGGTCTTGTTATCAAGCGCACGCGAACAGCGTCAAAGTCTTCCCATACAACGCTGCTTTTGTCGTCACTTACATATATTTATCAAATGCAAGGACAACAATTCAAAGGATCTTGCTACCTATTCAAGCACATGTCAATAGCGCATGCATGCAAAAGACGTCGTAGATAGAAATACATACTGGATCACCAAGGTTATTGAAATCCGAAGGATTTCGGGTACAAGTCTCGATACCACTGGTTCATCGAGAAGTTATCGTCCACGCTGAAGCCAAAGGTGCTGTGATCTGCTGGTGGGGGGCCAGGCAATACACTACATGTAGACAAATCCTGCGATCCATCGAAACTTGCTTCGGATTTGAGGTTGTATCGCCATGAACGATCGAGTTGTTGGCTTGATGGTCGCTGTGATGGCCTTCGCGCTGACTGTCCTGTCACCGAGAGAGATTTTGAATATCGGGGCTTTTTTACTTCCTCCAGTGCGCAGCCAAAGTTGCCATTTGATAGCGTTGATCTCCCACGGAAAGAAATCCCTGCAATAGAAGCCATAATTGCGTAAGAGATCCTTTGGCGTGCACTGAAAAGGTTTTGCTTACCTGTAGGTGCTGGTGCAACCCTTCCGTAGCTAGGATATTCCATTCGGTTAATGGCAGCTTGTACTTCCGGAGAGCGCAGCAACTCGGCTTTGATCGCCTCCAGTTCTGCAGCTATTAACACATGCAGGCAAGAACAAGGTCAGGAATCTTACTATTTGGTGCGGTAGATATTGCACCAGTAACGTACGAGTTGTAGTAGCATTCAAGTTGTAGCCCTGCTGCTTCAAAATTACATTATCCAGCGCCAACGCCAACCTTCGGGTAGCATACGTAGGCTGTAATGACCTCCTCGCGAATGTTGGCGCTTTTAAAGCCATGAAACTATCATAGGAGTTACTTCCGAGTGGTAATGCCTCTTGAATAACGCCTTGAGTTTCGCTGGCGACATCAGGTGTGAGCGAGCGCACCTGACTATCACTCCTGTCTTTTTGCTGAAAACCGGATGTACGAGAGTTAACCCGTATGGCTAAACACAACAATGTGGTGTTAGAAAGCCAATTTTGAGCAAGATGAGACCTCAATGGTCGACAAAAGTCGAATAAAATCGTCATCGACTTACGCAAAGCAGCGCATTTCTTCCGAATCTCTTCCGCCTCTGCAGCCTTCTCAGTAAGTTGAGCTAGCTTGCCCGACAATCCCGTTTTCGTGTTACGCGGCTTCTCATCAGCTTGCAAAGTAGCATTCGCTAATGGAGCACGACGTTTCATTGAGCTCACACTTTCGTCGCTAGGTTTTGATTCACACGCCAGTACTCTTCTCACAGCCGCATTTGGCTGCTGCAGATGTCGGTCAGAAGCAAGCAAAACTTTGTCCGGTCCACCTGTCTGAAGGCCTGGAAAAGTAAGACCGTGAAAGTAAGACCGTTAGCGCATGTCATCTTAAGATGATTAGAGATCGACATAGTATCGGCTAGAGCGTTACCGTTCTCCACACGTGGTCGGGATTGAGTAGCATGACGGGTGTGAGAGGGAGAAGCGGTGTGCTCCTCGTCACGAGGCTCCGCCCTAGGAAGAAGCCGAGCGTAGGGCGGACTGTATGGTGGTAGCTTAGAAGCCGATCTTCTCGCTGTCTTGAGTTTCTTGGGAGTTTTCCCGTATCTTTGTGGCATAATATGGAGCTCTTTGGTAACGGTGCATTGTTTTGATGCTTTTTCATCCTTCTTTTCTTCTCGATACTTGACATTCACGGAATTAGGACCTTGACTTTGCTTCGTAAATTCATTTGGCGTTTGTGTACGAGATGACGTCACATCTCCAGCACGCCTGGAATCCGTACGATCTGAAATAGCATCTTCCGCATTCGATCTCTCTCGCTTTCTCGCATTCGTAGGCTCTTGTGTCGTCACTTTGTTCGTCACAAGCACAGTTGGAGCGACGGTGGCTTTCTTGTTCGTGCTCACTGTGCTCACTATCTCTACATCCAGTAAAGGAGAACTCTGGTTTTCTTGCTTCTGTGACATATTTGGAGCTCCTTCTGCACTTGCATCAGTGGTCTTGTCTACGAAATTCGAGAGTTCAATGTTAGATTTACCACTTCCAGCAACCACTGGTGTATAAGCATGCGTTGCTGCATGATTGATCCTGTTCTCAACAAAGCCGCGCATCCACTTTTCTTCTCCTATTTCTTTCCTCACTTCTTCAATTGACCTTGTAACATTGTGTTCAAACTGCACCGGTAAAGTCCCTTGTACAAACTTGGGGAGATTTTCTTGTCCGTCACATTTGGTCAATAATTTCATGGCGAAAGCCAAGTTCTTGGATCGTGCTTCCCCTTTAAATCCCCTCATCTTTAATTTTGTTTGTCGCATTCTTGTTACTTTGTCCGACTGATATCCCACAATATTACTTTTCTTTACCCAGCACCTAGAAGATAAGATAACATAAAACAATATAAATCAAAAAATACCCCCAAATAAGAATAAAGCACAAGATCTACCTAAAACGTTTTGAAAACTCGGCTTTATCCAGAAAATCTACCAGCAAATTCTCTTCGAGTCTCAAGTTCTGTGCGCCCATGCTGGTCCCTGGGGCTCGTATGGTAAGCAGTGCTGGCCACCAGGGCCACGTAGTCAGCTTTGCCCAGCACTTGACAGCCCACGTGTGCGTATGATAGGGGGCAATACGGTCACTATCTCGCCTCAGCTCTTCGTTATATGCGTCTCCCCAACAGTCATACGTAATGATGACCGTCTCAGCAGTCGGCAGTTGTAACACTTGCGCTACGTTCCAGATCCCGTCGCTATCAATGACGTCTACGAGACAGAATATTACATCAGAGAGAGATTCAACTGCCTTAGAGTATTGTGTATAGACTTTTGTTTGTTACATTACCTAACCAATCACCCACTTGGAATGCGGGTACTTCCGCATTCATTTGCTTTGTTTCCCACGGATTGTTGACTTGATCTTTGTAGACGAATCAGATTTGAATCGGTATCGTACTTAGTTCGAACATTTATGGGCTGTAATGTAGCTATGTAATGAGACATGGCTGCCGGCGTCCCTTTGTACTGATAGTACAACAAGCCCGCAGTTATTTCTGACAAAGACATTAGTAAGCGTGTAAATACGAACGCCATTTGGGTCGTTGTAGCAGAAGTTGTCGACGTGGCCGACTTTATACGGAAGCACAGTCTCCTTGAGATTGCAAACGACTATTCTGCAATAAAAATCCATCAAGCGATATTCGTACAGCGCCATGGGCCAACGCACAGCTGCAGGAATTCAACCTCACCTGAAAAAAAGCGCAAGACTTGCCGCTGGCCAAGTTTGTACCGAACAAGCGATGGAGAAGAAACACATGGAAGCGGAATATGGAGCGAGAAGAAAAACCATCCGTTGAGTCCTAGGCCAGCCTGGGTCTGGCAAGCCGTCTATCTTCCGCGTTCTAGCCGGTCAATTCTTCATTAGCGAGAGCGACACGATCAAAAGCGACATTTTGTAACGGACACACATAGACTTTGTCTACTTCTCTTCATTGGCGGTTGGGGGGAAACACTTGAGTTTGCACACGATTTCTGTGGTGGAGGTCTTCCTGATGATGGAAAGAATGGTTTTTGGTGGCAACCCACGAGGTCCGAGGAAGACAAAGTGATTCGGTTGTAAATCGCCACAGACGAAGATACACTTGCTGTGAGCATCATGAATCGTAGTAGGTGCTCTCGCTGTCAAGTAGTTAAATGATATTGACGGAAGTGAATATTGGGTCGCATCTATTGGTCTCAGAAGTTGAGCCGACCAAAATCTTGATGACAGACTTCGTACATAATATGCGTATATTTGACGTTTGACTTTGCGAGTCATAGGCGCAGTATGAGTCAAACAGTGCTCATCAGCGTGTTGGCTACCTGGGAAACTAGCGGTTATACGTAGTGAGCACAGTCACCGGTCTTTGGACCACTGCATCAACTTCCGGTTACTGACAAATGTCAGACGTCAGTACCTGATGTTTGACGCAAAATAACGTCACAAGAACGAGCCTTAAATGATCGAGCTCAGGACATAACTCGGCAAATTGCTGCAAATAACTAGAAGTACCTGACGCATTCGGATAGTATCTTTCTTTACGTTGTATGAAGTGTCCGATTTACAAGCTTTTTGACTGACACCCATATTATGGACCGTCTATTTCTGATGTTAAATTTATCTGCAGTAGTAGAATGAAAAAGGAATTGCAAAATGACTTTATCCGAATATCGAATGTTGCTCGAATTGCATGTTGCAGGAAAATATTACACGAGACGATATTAGATAGTATTCTAATCTTGAGCACTATTACTATTTTGTAATATGAAAGGCATCTGCTGTCAATTCAAATCTCAGTAAAAAAAGTATCGAATGCAAGTAGTCAGACCTTCATAATGCAAATATTCAGATGATTCATTGATCAAATCGTTGATTTTGACAATATTGTTTACTCATTTTATCTACAAAACATATTCTCAGAAATCGTAAAGTCGATCGGCATCATGATGGCGTTCGGGGACGACCTTGACGACGGTATGGCGGAGCGTCTGATGAACGGGACTACCGACGCAAATAACTCTTCTTCCTCAGCTCCATTTGTCGACGACTTCGATCTTATCTCGGAACGTGAGACGCTCGTATTTGAGGAAGATTTCTTTCGTCAGCAAAAGCGACTTGGCAAACGTGGAGGTTTCTTCCAGACGTATTTATTCGAGAAAATTCAACCAGGATCAGGTATAGACATCTCTTTTATGTAGACTTATCTAATTGTTGTGCTAATGCTCTGACTATATAGTGAAAGGCTCCATGTTCACAATGACAGTCGCAATTGTCGGTGCTGGTGTATTGGCGCTTCCCTACGCCGTACAACAGGCGGGACTAATTTTGGGCATCTCACTTATTGCTTTGGGTGCGATAGCTACAAATTTTACTCTAAGACTGCTACTAGAGTGCTCGGATCTTGGTCAGGCGCGTTCGTATATGGACTTGGCCATGGCTACAGGAGGACACAAGCTGGCAGGTTTTACACAGCTAGTTGTGTGCATCAACCTCTTTGGAACGTCGATTGGCTACCTTGTGGGTAGTACCGAGTTGGTCCAACTTGCGTTGCGGACGTTCCTGGGGAGAACGAGCCAGAGCATCTTTCTGGACCGACAGACGTTAGTCCTGATACTTACAGGGTTTCTCGTGCTGCCGTTGTCGCTACTACAAAGTCTGGAGTCACTGAGATTTTCATCGCTGTTTTCGATTGTCTGCATCGTGTTCATGGCGTTGGTGATCGTGATCAAGTACTTTCAGTTTGTGCATGAAGGTCTGGCTCCAACAATCGAGTTTCAGATCAAGCATTTGCGGCTGTTTGACTGGCGTCTTAGCCACTTGCTACGTGCGATTCCACTCGTCGTGTTCTCCTTCACGTGCCATCCGAACGTACTTCCTATCTATTTGGTACTCAAGCGTCGATCCAGCACAAGAATGTACAAGGTTATGAACCGCAGTATCGGCATTGCGACGGTCGTGTATTCGCTCTGTGGGTTCTTTGTTGTTCTCACATTTGGCGAGGCGACCCAGTCTAATTTTCTCAGAAACAATTACCACGGCGATGGTGCTGTGATCGCTGGGTCTTTGGGTTTCGGCATCGCACTTATTTTGACCGTCCCACTGTTCGTCCACACGTTACGTGACAACATCCGCGAGGCTCTATTGGATAACCGTTCACTCGATTTGGTACGTCATGCTTTTTTGTCAGTGTTTCTAGTATTGGCTGCAGTTTTAGTAGCCTTGGGATCCGGCGACATTGCGTCTGTACTCGGTGTGCTTGGTGCCACAACCAATCCGACGATCTGCTTCATACTGCCGGCATTTTTCGTCGTTCGACTGGGCAGCAAACACCATCGCTCCAGTCAGATCACTGCCGTGGCAATAGCCGTCATTATGACTGTCGTGAGCGCATTGAGTTTACTACAACAGATGCACATTATCGCTTAAATTTCAGGATAAAGTGCATGACAAAAGTTGTTGTCTTTCGATCCCATTATTTTATTGGTAGAAAATCTTTAGCTTGATTCTTATGTTTTCATTCGTCAAAATAAATAAAGCGACGTAAACGTCGAATTGAACCGTGACAATCACTCTTGACCGCATGGCGAGCGACGTCGAGGCGCTCACACGTGCGCTCGGAGAGCTCTCCGTGTCTTTGCGTCGACGCCGCCGAAGCTGTCAAAGCAACGCCGAGAAATACCGTGTCTTGAAATGGCTACATAGCTTAAAGAGCGAAGAATTGGCGTCTCTGTGCTGTGTGGAGGACGTGGCCTTTGTCAAGACGCTGCTGCACATGGCGGCGCGTTCCAGAGGCAATAAGCCGCTTATACAGGAGTTTCAGCTCTTGCCACAGTCTATCAGTGGCTCTACTGTGGCCCAGAACAAACGCTCAATAACCAAGACGCCGCTAAAAGCCGCTCCAAGGTGAGGAAGGTGTTCAAAAACTATTTTTTATCAGGTTTCTGACGTACTTGTTGGTTTTATTAGAGAATTTGTAAAACGTCCACTTGTTAAAACAATCGATGGAGATGTGGTGACGAGTTTTCACACTCGAGAGTATGAGGAATGCTGTTTAAAGCTGATGAAAGGCATGAGAGTTCTTAACGCACTGCAGTCTTGCGACACGGTGGCACTGTCGATGGATTTTTTTCGTCCTGTGGGAAAAGGATGTGGTACATTTGCTGGGGACTTTTTTCACTTAATGAATGTGATATCATGTGGTGATTTTCTCATGGATTGTCCGTCGGATACGACGTTGAAACATCGTATATGGGCCGAGACAAAAGTACGGAACTGTGTGTGGCAACGGAAGGAGATTTGGCGAGAGTGTGACGTCTTGTATTGTTGGTCATGTCTTGTATGTGGCTTCATGTAGTGGCTAAAGGAACAAGGTTATTATTCGCTGCAAGCGCTCTTCGTGAATCAGATTGTGTGTATTTGCAACAACATCTATATATTTGGTTATCGTACTTGCACGATACGCTGGTTGCGTAAATCTGACATTGTACGATGTTGCGTGCAACTCGATAGGAGCTTAATATATGGGCGTCCTGGAAGCAACACAAGAAAGACGTGACTACAAAAATACCACTTCAAGGCCTCGCATCGAAAACTTACTTGGTGCACGAATGGGAAACAGCAAACATTGATCAGAAGGATGCAGTATTAAGGGTGCTTCGTTCCAAGACGATAGGGCATCTTCGTGATCTCACGGAGCCGGTACCTGTCCAAGCGGCTGGGGCAGCGAAATTTCAGGCTGCACGCTTGTCGTTGGAGTCGCTTTTGTGTATACTGACTGTGCATCAACAAGCAAGGCAGCAGGCTAATCATGGAATATCAGTGGATACCTGTTTTACGTGTGCATTTGAAGAAGCAGTGATTTATCCTCAAGCAGCAGTGATAAAGCTATTGCTTGCAGAGCATCTTCAGGAGCAATGCTCGCTTTTGCTTTGCGAAAGGTTGACGAAAGAAGAAGAGATAGCTGCTGCTTCGAGCATGTCGGTAAGTGTGACTTTTAGCGACAAAGTTGGTACTATGGATGATGGTACCAAAGTCAAGGCAAAATGTGCCAACCACTCCCAACGACGGCGTGCAAGCCGAAAGAGAATGCTTAAACTGCGACGCCGCGAAGGCGAAAATCGTGCTATTCTACGGGAACGTTTTAGTTGTGTGTTGCGTGAGCTTCGCGAACATTGCTGTCGGAAGCAGGAAGAAGCTATGGCGTGCGTGGATAAGGTACAACTTGATGTTATTGATACCGTTGTTGGCGGTAACCAGCTAATATCAGATGGGTGGAGCATTTGTACCGAACGCTGCATCAAAAACAATGGTCGACCTAGACAAAAACGAAAAGATAAGAAAACGAGGAAAAAGGCGGGTACTGCGAAAGTGGCAGCGGGGCTGGGGAGCAGCAGCATGGGCGAAAAAACGTTGTTAGTGACCTTGCCCCAACCCGTCAAAGTGCTAGACAAGCCGCACTCGCGCCGACCAAGTGGGGAAGATGATGCTAGTGAACGCAGTGCTGCGACCGCCGGCTCGGATTCTTCACTGTCTCAGCGTGATAAGCCGCTAGCTGGTTGTGATATGGAAAGCGGAAGTACGCATGACGACGGCCCAAGCTTGAGTTTTTTCTCCAATGTTGGGTCGACTGGAATACCAACATCGTCGATTTCGTCAGCGTCTGCGCTACCATTACCGACGTTTGGCTCCCAGCAGCTTTACTCGTCGTCGGCAACGACACCTTTTTATCTATCGTTGACACCTCGGGACCCATATGAACAATCATCTCCAGTTTCTCGTCGAGGCATCGAAGACGATGACGATAGTAATAGACGAAATGAAACGTGTCCAGCAGGATCGGAAAGCACTTCTCATGAAGTACCAGTGACTTCTGAGACGTCAAATTTTGAGTGGTTCATGCCATCCGTCTTTTCGTTCCAGGCCTCTGCGCAACGAAAATATTCTCTAACGCCTGGCCTCGATTGGCATTTTAATCACTGGCAATTTAAGGCTCCGGATGGGAATGTTTTGGATAAGGAGGCGTCACCTTCTACGACCAGAGGTGCTGGGTTGGACCCTTCGCCACCACCGTCGTCATCGTCATCAGGTTCCTCAGCTTCGTCACGTTTCGCAAACGCGAGGATATCGGGATTAACGAAAAAGTATTCGTTGGCATCATTCTCCGAGATAGATGGGATGGATTCAAGTCGACGAGGGTCTGCCAACGTGGATCCTGACAACCCAAGTTTAACGGTCACATCGATTCGAGAAAATGGCGACGGCGCTTCAGTTACTGTAGATAGCGATAACAAGTCTGACTTCTTGTACCGCGAAGGGGGATTTTTTGATCGCCAGCGCGCTCTTAAGCGTCGACGACGCCCATGGCCATATAGCTACGCTCAAGAAGAGAGCGATTCTGCTGATGAACATGATTCTCGCAAAGATGGGCGCTCAAATATGTACGGAAATTTGAAGCGGTGCATTGACGCAAGTCAGAAGGGTGATACGTGGACAGATTGTGTTCACTGCTGTAAATGTGCATGCCACCACGGCACCACTGCTCGCCTCCGAAATAAGCGTATGGAGTACACCGAAGATAGCGATGCCGACAGCGGCATCAACAATGAAATCAATGATTGTAAAGATCAACATTTCACTGCGCCGTCAAGTTTTTCGATGAAGGTCTTTCAAAATGGACTTGACGTCAAGGTTACAATGGCTTTAGAGCGCATGACATTGCTGGAAGAAAAACTGGTCGAGACAACGAAGGTATTTGCTTGTTTTGGACGAAAATGGAATATTCTGCATTGCGTGCTCATCAGTATGTTACTGGTACCTATAGGTCATGGAAGAGCATACTGTTAGTGCGTCTTCTGAGATAGCTACACTAAAGCAAACGATGGCAATGCTAACCGCCCAGCTTCACAACACCGAGAACGATATCCAAGAATTTCAACTTCAGCAGTCTGTCCCTGCTAATACGAGTGGATTGGATGATATGTCCATGGGCCATGTGAGCTCCTGTAACTCGCCGCCAGCTCCGTTTTCACCAGCCCCTTCGTCCCTAAACCAGCAAGCCGAAAGCACACAAACTACAGTACCTACCTTTCCGGAAGCATACGCACCAACAAATTCTGTGATGGGACCATTCGTATCAGTCCCATTGTCGGTGCTTCCTCCACGAAGTAAGTTACACTGGGACTTGTGTGAATTTGCAGCACAGCTTCAAGTTGACAGTGATTCACGCCTTCCTGCTCAGCTTGCTGCTCAACGGTTGTGTATGGCGACAGTGCAATCGCTATGGCCGCGTGCTCAGGTACGACCGTACGGCTCACATGTATCGCGGCTGGTACTTCCGTCAAGCGACGTTGATCTCGTAATCTGCTTGCCAAAGGTGCGTCGTGACGCGCCAGCTGACGCAGCTGGTATGTTGGAAGGTCGAAACGCTATTAAGGAGACGTGGCAACAGAATCTTGCCCGCAAACTAAAGCAAGAGCCTTGGGTTGTGCGTGACTCGGTAAAAACGTTACCGCATGCTGCTGTCCCGATTATCACACTCCTTACTGCCCCTCCATACAATGTAAGACTCGACATTTCGTTTGAAGGCCCCGGTCACAACGGTTTAGCTACCAATGAAGTCGTTCTTGCACTGCTTCACGAATTCCCGCCTCTAGCGCCGATGATGCTTATTTTAAAAAGTTTTGCGATCGATCGGGGTTTGGCGGTAGCTTATTCGGGCGGACTGTCGTCGTACGCATTGCTGCTGCTTGTGACGCGCTATCTCCAGGAACACAGCGACACAATGCCCAATGGTTTTGCAAACGCTTCTCGAGCTGTCCAGCACAGTCTGTCAACGGTACAGGCGGGCGTGGCAGACTTCGGTCTGATGCTTATGGGATTTTTGGATTTTTACGGAAACCGGTTTGATCCGCGCACTACGGGAATTAGTGTAGCCTCGCGCTGCTTTCTAAATCGTGAGAGCACTTTCATGGCGGGGCCCGGAACTCCAGGAATGGGTGACCCTCATCATGTCCCACATCAATATCAGCAGCAATACGCAGCTGACGATGCCGCCGTGGACGATCGCACGAGCCAATACGGCTATGGTCAACATTGGCAGGTACCTGCGCAGCCTCACATGCAGACGCTTCCACCACATTCCGAAGCAGCTTCTGCTCAGGGCTCCCGGCGGTATGGCTACCGTTCCTCGCTGGACCTGCCAGCATCCCGAGAACTAGATGGAATGAGCGCCGCGACAGGCCTTCTGGACTATCAGCAGCTGCAACAGCAAACGTATGATCCGCACAAGTTCGACCCGGTGTTTATTGAGGATCCGTTATGCCCGAGCAACAATGTGGGCAGAAATTGTTTCCGTGTCATGCAGATCCGCCGCGCTTTCTCAGCAGCTCACCTTGCATTGCTTACTGCATCGCGAGATCCTGCAGTATTTGCAGACAATCGGATTGGTTTAGTAGCTGGTGTTGCACTCCACCCGGACAATATTCTACGTGCCATCTTGGGCGCAGGTGCTCCAGTGAATGCGAAGCCTGATGCTGCTACATCTGCGGCGGTCGGAGTAAATTCGTACACGGGTGCAGAGCATCCTTACGCATTTCACTCTTACAACCAGCAGCAAAACCAGCAACGATATGGGTACCATCACCACCATCATCAGCCGCCACAACCGTCATATGATCACACCGGGGTTCCGCCGCCGCGCAGTATGAGTGCGCATCGCAATGAGCCAACATCGCGAAGGCACAGTGAAAGCGAAAGCGAGAAGCTGACGACGGGTTCGGCAACCTCGACAGCGAGTCGTAATGATCGCACAAGGAAGGGGCACATGGGTAGTCCGGGGCTTATTCCCCAGAGCGACAATGGCAATGATCCTTCCCAAGTGCAAGTACACTTGCTTCGTCCAGTCTCTACAGATCACGGGCGTCAGCCACGCCGACTGGCATCTCTGAAGCAGATTAACAACCAACAGACAACCAATGTTCTAAGCCGCAAGAACAGTGAACGTTCTTTAAGCTTTGCGGACGTCGTGCGCGATGGTGGGGGGACAAATGCTGCAAGTGTGACTATGTCAAAGACGCCACTTCTGGCTATTGCTCGGCCTCCACGTTTTTCACGCGATGACATGGCGCTGGAGGAAAGCATTAACGAACGGCGGGAAACCAAGGATGACTCAGAGCTTAAGTGAAAGACCAGCATCTGCAGATGAAACTTTGTCTCCGCGTCACGCGAAAAGAGTTTCCGAAAACGCATCATTTGATTAAATTACGGCGGGCGCGCTGTGTAAGACGTAGCAAAAAGGCCTCATCTATTGCCAGGTCAACTTAGCACCGCGCTTTAGCACTCCGTCGACGCAAGCTTTAGTTCGAGGGGCCAAAGCTGTAGACGAAGCCCTGTTCGTAGTAAATCACGACAGCAAAGGTGAGTTCCAAGACAAAGTCGTGGCGTATACAGCACATCGTACCGATTTTTCGCGCTTGCGCTCGATAATGTCAAGTTTCATGAGCGTCTGCAAAATCTCTTTGCATCGAATCACAGGCAATCCACTATGCTTTACGAGGTCCGAGATAGAACTATTACAATATCCTTCGTCGTCTTAGCAACGACAAGCACAACCATGACACTTGACTCTGACAGAAAAAGAATTTCGACGTACATGGCGCAGTGACGGTTCTTGAGATAAAGCACAATATTTTCGAGCTTTTTTAGCTCAGCTGGACTCTGATACTTGCGTGGAATTTTTTCTCGAACATCTACAACCACAACAACAATTAAATTCAATCATTTATCATCTTAAAACTCACATCAGCAACGTACGACGTTCCCACGTCCAAGCTGATTGTATTGTCTTAGTCGTCTGTGTCTTTCGTTTCTTGATCCGTGTATTGCTGGGTCCATGAGGTGCAACTTTTCCGTGTCTTTTGATGCCCTTGACAGCAATTGCCATCTGTTGTTTGGTCTTTAACAGCTGTTTGTCTCCATTAGGAGCCTCAGTCATGTTCTTGTTCTTGTTTGTACCTCCTAATGACTCCTCCTGCTTCTTCTGGATATCATTATCATTAGGCGACACACTTGATTGTGGCTTCCCCGTCCCTGGAGACACCTCCTTGTCTCGAAAACCTCGAGTTGAAGGAACCGTCTTGGGATACGAAAGACACGACGCGTGTAACGCCATGGCCCCTTGAAAGGCGCCAAATGCCGAATTAAAGTCGTCTACTGCGTCATATACGCGCGACAACTGCTCGACCTGATCTCGAAGATCGTGAAGAGTACCACAGAGTTCCGCAAACGGACCGAGGAGAGGGTCCGCCATGGTCTTAATTCAAAATGCGGCACGGAAGCAAGAGATGTTTGCGATTGGGCGAAAATATGATACTTTATGTGCGCTCCATCATACCTAACGGCGACTATGTAAAAATGCGCGTAGCCTCACATCGGACGACCCAATTTTTTTACTATTCGCTCTTGCAGCAGTAAGTGTCTAAATTATCTACGGCATCATTTTCTTCTGCTGGTACAGGAGTGTATTTGACGACACAATTGGTAAACTTGCGTATCTTGCTCTTTACCATCATTCTCCTTAATACATTGAAAGAAAGGCCTCTTGTTTCAACGTGTTTTTAGAATGATTGTCTCATCCAGCAATCCAGACGTGTTTGCAATTGACAGATGTAATAAATTTAACATCATAATTTTCATAAAAGTGGCATAACTTTCTTCGCATCTCGAGTTTTTTATATATAAATAAGCACTAGAGCTTGTTACTAAAACCGAAAAAGTCAGCAACATTATTTGTACAATCCAATCAATTTGACCCGTAGTTTTCATTCGAATTGGCACATTGTGTTGGTAAAAGCGCTGCGAGGCGAGGCAAGGCAAGTGACAAAATGCAAAGTGATTGATTAAGCTTTAGCTCGGCAGCATGTGTGAATGCATGCAGCCTATGTCTAAGCTCACAGCCACAAAAGCTCTCAATGACCGGAGCTACACAGCTTTAAGGGCAGAAAAGAACTCAAAGGCTAAAAGCTTCTTAGTTCTATAGTACTAATTAAAATTGACGGTTCAAAGACATTTAGTTTTTGTAGACGGGCACTTCTACGAAGTTGCCTCGTACTACTTAGCACACACCTTATGCACAAGCGAGGAAGCGGTTAGACCGTCTTACCTTCGCGTGCGAGGGTGGTTGGGAGGTTGGTCGACTGCTTAAGCAGTCGTACCACCAGTTGCCTCTCGCTTAAGCGAGAGCGCAACGAACTTCTTAACAAGAAGGCACCGACGTCACGCAGAAGCTTTTCAACTTCTCGTGCGTGGTGTGTCTGTTTAAGGAAATTCAAGACTGAGATATATTTAATTAATTATAACTAAATATATGTTTAACTACTGATTGGCTATATATATATATGTATATATATAGATCGGATACGCGACTCTTTAGAAGCGTATCCTGTCGCATGATTTTAAATCTAGATTTAAGATCGCAACTGACGTCCTTCTGAGACGTCGTGATGCCTAGCTTCAACTAGTGTCATCCCTTCTCATTTGAATCCATCAATGGATATTACATTCACGAGGGTGGATCACATTTGTGTGTCGCACCCAAGTGACTGGTCAAAAGTTATCATGGATACTTTTAGACCAAACATTAAGTATATTACTTAATGTTTACGTGTAACTAGATGCCCTGTTACACCATCCCCCGTTTTAGAACGATTTTTATATTTTGTAAAACATCGCCTAGGAGACAGAGAGACTGGCGAGCCGTTATAAACGCGCCGCTTTAGTCTGCTCAGTACTCATGCCACCGAAACGTGGTAAGGCTGATGGGGCGCCTGCAAAGGCACCCATGCAGTCCAGCACTAAGCGCACGCGCCTCGATTTATCGCAGCCGTCGCAAAGTGCGTCAGGCACTGGGGTGAATCTTCCATCTCACGATAATGTGGATGAAGATACATCTCTCATTGTAGACTACAATGAGATCACACCACTGCCATCACCCCAAAGTGGCGATGAGCATAGTGCATTGATGGGACATATGTCCCAATCATTTTGAGGCACCCGTCCTTGAGGGAGCATCTATGCTTCCTACAAGCGAAGGTAAAACCTCGTCGTCTGCGCCTACGAGCTCAGCGACTAAGACTGAGCACGCTACTTCGAAAGGAGTAGTCGCGACTCAGTCAGATGTAACTTCTCAAGCTGATGTCTTGACAATCCATAATGGAGAGTCAGACTCAGGTGAGTGTGAGCTTAAAGCTCCACCAAGTACACCGTCGGCCTCACTAGCCCGCCGTCACAAGAGCGGCTACGTGAGTGGTGGCTTGCCACCAATGCCACCTCCATCTGAGTGGATGAACTCGGATGGGTCTAGCGCAGCGCTTTTGCAGCGTGCCACTATAGACGCTCATAGATTCTATAGCGTCTTTCCTTTGTGGAAAAAGCAGGGCAAAGCACTTGGTCGTTCTTTCCCAATTCCAGTCGTGCTGCGTTCTAACGAAACAGCCGACGAATATGAAGCTGAACTTCGGCGCCGTGTTACCTTGCATGTAGATGCAACGAAGCAACGGTCGCAGCGACTCAGCTTCATCTTGAAGCGTGCGCATGAAATCTTGGGTGGTAAGCGACCCCCAATTGATTCTCGCCACGCTTCTTCTACTAGTTCATTCGGACCTAGCAGAAAGACGACAGCTGGTTCTGCTTCACATAAGCAGCCACAAGCCCAGGCACGTCAACGCGCAAAGCGTGCACAGTCTCCCACGAGTCAAAGCTCGTTGGGTAACCCTTCCACTGGACAAGGATTTGGAGCTTTCGCTTCACAAACCGGTGGGCCAACACCTTCCAACAAGGAAGCGCGTGTTCCCATCCGTGTCCACCAACACAGGTGGCGCCCGATAGGAGTGGCGATTACGCACACCTAATCGCGGCTGCCTACCCTGCTGTTGTTCAGTCGCAGGCTGAGTCTGCTGCGCTGAAGAGACAGGTGTCAGATCTCGAGAGTCAAGTCTCGCGACTGACTTCGGATCTGCGCGATATGAGGACGAGGGACCGTCAGGGGTATGACCGCCTGAAGACTCGTTTGGACATTTTAGAGAGACTGGTGATGAGAGACCCGCGTCAATCGCGTAGTCTCTCCGTCCTCGATCGCCGATTCCTCTATCGCCTCGTTCGTATACGGGGAGCCTATCGGCTTCCTCGTCGCCTGATCGGTCGCGACACTCGACTTACAGTCGACGTCACCATCGGTCTCGTTAGACCGATGTGGATATGTGATCTCTTCTGGATCAACATATCGTTTCAGGCGACCCACGTAAAATACGGGGTGCGTCTTCATATACGGTGGGAGAGTGAGCCTATAGTTGAGGGGTCCAACTTCCTCAACCACTGTAAAGGGCTCAATTAATCGGGGCAATAGCTTAGTAAGTACCACCAGGTAGTACAGAAATTGCATGTTTAGGTAGGGTATCAGTACTTAATAGCACTTTGGTCCCCCACACTAAAGTGTTCATTGTCTTTTGCGACCATGCTGGTCTGCATATTGTTTTTGCTTGTCCTGTGCGCTTGCCATCGCGTCACGGAATTTACGTGTGATGGCTAATCGCTCATCCACAAAGCACTGAGCTTCGCTCACGCTTTTCGCATCCAGCTCGCCTATGGCGCCTCCAAGAGGTCGTTCATGGGTCGACGCTGTTGATAACACTATAGTGTCATCATCAAGGAGCACAGGCATTTCTTGCCGTGCCTCCTCTGTGACACCTATAGGTGACGTGACCACTGCTACATTAGCAGTGTCACTAGGGCAACCTTGGCCCTTTTTGGCATTCGCACCGAGCGAAGTGAGGAGCCCTCCACCACTAAGGCTCGGGCTGCGTACAAACGAGACTGGCGTTCGAGGATGACGCAGTCCGTTAATGTAAAACGGTGTTTCACCCGTACTGTCGTGAACACAATAATTAATAGCGAACTCCACGAATGGCAATTGCTTGCTCCATTCTTTGGGAGTCGCTATTGTACGCAACACATCCGCCACGACTCGATTGACCCGTTCTGTTTGGCCATCAGTTTTGGGATGATCAGCGGTTGACATGTGGAGCTTGTTACCTAGCAACTCAGACACATGTCGCCAAAAACCCGACGTAAAACGCGGATCCCGGGCCGATACTATGAACTCGGGCTTCCCGTGTAGTCGATACACGTGATCCAGAAACAAGAGGGCAGCCTCTTTTCCTGAGATCTTGGAGATACATGGTGCCAAATGCCCCATCTTGCTCAGTCTGTCTACAAAGACGACGAGCCCCGTCCTGCCTTTATGGTCAGGCGGTAAGCCAAACATTAAGTCCAAACTGAACGACTTCCAACAATCAGTTGGAATCGGCAGTGGCTTCAGTGGCGCACTGTTTGAAGATGCAGGCTTTATGCGCTGACACTCTTCACAAGAGCGAATATAGTTGGCCACTCACCGATATAGGTGGGTCCACCAAAATTCCTCTGATACTCGTAAGAATGTCTTTTCACGGCCCCGATGCCCACTAGATGGCGCATCATGGCACTCGTGAAGTATCATCAGCTTGAGATCTGTGTCATGAGGGACATAGATTCTCAAGGGATCACAGGGTGCCATAACAGGCCATCACTGTAACTAAAGCGATTTAATTTCGCTTTGCGGTGCGACGGAAGGGTAAACTTTCGTCCACCAAAATGATCCAACAGCAGGCGGCAATGTTCGTCCTGACTGTAACACTCCTTGATATCGGAGGCCATTGAGCTCGTCACATGGTAGGCCTTCATGGCTGCCAATGTGACGACTCAACTTGTTCTTTCGCACGAAACACACTATCTTGGTGTCTTGCCTCGAAGTCTGGTCTGCGCGATAACGCGTCAGCCAAGACATTCGACTTACCCGGCTTATATTCAACTTTGAAATTAAATTCAGAGAATAATGTTAGCCATCTCGCCATTCTCGGCGAGAGGTGCGGTCAATTTATAGCGGTCCGCAGTGATGCGTGATCCGTATAAACCACAAAAGGTTCGGTGCCCAAGAGGTGCACCCGAAACTTCACAAGGGCATACTTAATTGAAAGTAGCTCCTTGTCATGCACAGGGTAATTCAGCTCGGCAGCTTTTAAAAGCCGAGACTGATAAGAAATGACACGGTCAACACCGTCGTCATCCTTCTGCATGAGCGCGCTGTCGATTGCAAAATTGCTTGCATCGCAGACGACGCTAAAGGGCTTATCCGCGTCTGGCAATGCCAAGACCGGTGCCTCAACAAGAGATTGCTTCACCGAAGTGAACGCATCTTCTTGTTCCTTTGACCAAGTC